AATCTCAGTAATTCTTTGCAACACTTCCTTGAATAATTTATTTCTCATAAATATCTTATTATAGACATGGTCATTAACTGGTCCAAAAAAAAATTAGTCGAGATACGTGTAAACTGATCCGAATGTATTTGAACATTAAATCAAAAAAAAAAAGACAGCAGCCACCTTCGATTTTTTATTTTTTTAATGGGTAATTATCATTTGATGCCTTTTATATATACACTTTCATTTAGCCCTTGAAGTTTTAATTGTGACAATTAAATTCTTAAATTTTTAATCGGGTTTTAATTCAATCACGTTATCTCCATATCTTAATTTGTCACTTCACAACAAAAAAACATCATGCGACCTTGTTATAAGGGTATATTTATTTAGTTAAAAATATTTCTCTTATGACGAACGAAGTTTAGAATTAACAAAAATTCATAAAATGAAGGAAGTGTACAGCTAACCACTTTTTTGTTCCTAGAGAGAGAGAGAGAGAGAATGGAATTCTTTTTGAAGTGCGAGACAAATGTTGATATGTCTTTTAATATCTCTCAAATTCTCGCTTAATATTTTATTTTATCTTAGACTCAAAAAAAAGAAAGTAATTTTTTTTAACCTATGCAAGAATTGATTAAAAGTTGGCTTACTATAACATTAGAACTTATAATTAATTCGATAATTATAATGAATTTGGTCCCAAATAAAATATCAATAACTAATCCAGTGACTGATTTCTGGTAATTTTTTTTTTTGGGGGGGGGGGGAGGGGGGGGACTCACTTGTCTGTTCTAAGCATCAACCCATATGCGATCTTGGGTTGGTTTGGTTTTGATGAGGGCCAACCCAAGTCAAAATCATAATGAAAGGCCAAAGGCCCATAGCAAAAGGGATGAACAGTTGTCACAAGCCTATGCTGAGTTTCAAGTAGGTTTCCAAATTCCAAACCCACCCCCGGTCTAAAACTTGGTAAGGCTTAAATTGCATCCAACACAGCTAAATGATGAGAAATAGCATGGCCAAGATTGGGTCATATCATATCCCAATATTCGAGATTGAACTTCTCCGTCTATCTAAAACCTAATGAGATCTGACAAGCCCAAATCCAAATTAGACTTAAGCCTAATTTATAAGTTGAGATCAAATCATTAAGAGACGAGTTTGACTTAGCTTATGACTTCAGTCCAATTCAAAATTTAAGAGTCTAATAAATGTCAATGCACGTGGGAGAGCAATCATTGAGATAGTCATTACTCCAAGATAATATTCATCCCCAATTGTAGCTATCTTATCCGATAAATTAATAACTTGACATTTACGTTACCATCTCAACAAAAACTCCATGCCTATAAATTGTCAACCCTCCTAAACATGAGAGTAGATTCACACACCTACACCTTGAGTGTGTTCTTGCTCTCTCTCTTTTACTACCTTGTACTCTTTCATTAATAGAGTTTTTTTACTCATCGTTGTCGCCTTTAATGATTAAGTCACTCAAACCCAACTATTCAATCTTTATATCTTATTATTGATTACTTCGTTAATTGTTTTGCACTACACAGACTCGACTAATTTGATTGTGCATAATCAATTTTATGCATCACTAATATCATTTTAATGTACTTAATTTAAATATCTAATCTGGTGATTTAATTTATAACAATTATTGAATTAGATTTGAATTTTATTCAATTTTGAAACTTAAAACTAATTTAGAATTAAGTCATTAGATAAATTCCTCAAATTAAATTCTTATAACATTACTCTTTCAAAAAAAAAAAAAAAAAGAAACAAAGCTATAAAACAAGGAAACTAAGGAAATGAGTAAAAGTGGGGAAATTCATGAGACTTGTGTACCATGATAAGTTTATAAGTTTACTAACTACATACCGACGATTACTTTTGTCATATTGCGTACAAGAAAATCCTTAACTACCAGAAAGCTCTGACAAGAAAAATTATTTAAGGAATTGAAACCTAAACCTGACCCCACCATGTCCATGCTTCCTGCCTGAATAGGCCTACATGTCCTTGCCGTCTCCACTTTCGCAAATTTCTGACTTTTCTATTACGTTGAATTTCATCATATCAGAGTTGGACACGTGGAGTCAACCTGACCTTTAGATGTGAACTCCCAGAACAGACACCCTTGCACGTAGGCTGGTATTCCACTGACCCTTCAATTTCCAGTTCATAAGAGAAAAAAAAAATCCAAGTTTGTCGGGTGTTAAGGCTCAAAAAAATCAACGCAATATTTTTTTTGCGTATCAGATTAATGTTGAACTATATATAAAGTCATCTCTTCACACAAAAGAGTAAATTTATGCACGATAACTCAAAATGATTGCCTTTTGTGAGATATTTGAACCCCTAACATACTCTTTATGAAAAGTTTATTGGGTGATTGAGCTGCCATTAAACTAATATCTTGGAGTTAGACACGTTTTTCGGTAAAAATTTATATAATAAAATAGGAGTGTGTTTGAATTTTATTTCAGTCATATTTTCCTCCTCAAAACTATCACCGATCACTTACCTTATTCATCATCTCTTTGTTAGACTCAAACATCAAATCACATCACTCATTTCTATCACATATTTAATCATTTATATATTTTCTCCCTAAAAATATCACATCACTCATTTCTATCATATATTTAATCATTTAATATTTAATTAATTTGTAGTTAATATATTTTGTAAAAATTTAATATAGTGGGATCAATTTTTTGGACGCTTGAATTTTATATTTTGTCGTGCCTTCAGACACAAGTGGGATCGATTTTTTGGATGTTTGAATTTTATATTTTATCATGCCTTCAGGCACGAGTTATGACTAATATGTAGATAAAAGATCTTGGTATTCTTAAATACAGTAACATTTAAAAGGTTATTATGGGCATGTTCTAATCACTGGCAATGAAATTTAATCAAATGTGTTATAACGACTTAATTTAATTTTAGTTATGGCGATCTAAACCTAAATTGCTATGTGATAACACTTACGAAAAATGTTACACTATTCAAATGAAACTTAAAAACTTTAAATTAAATGGATATTATCCCTTGGATGAGTGAATTCTATTGAAGGGGATTCACTTATCTAAGGAAGAATATGCATTTATATTATAATTTTTTGAATTTTATTTACGATTTATAAAATTAGTCAACACTTAATCAAATGTGTTATAACGACTTTAATTTTGACCGACGGGACCTAATCCCTTGAAGTACAACCCATTTTAGCTGCAACACAATAATGGGGTTTACTAGTGAGATTTTAAGGTGTTTTCGAACTTAGTGTCTTGTGAATTAATGTTGAGGCATGGCTTTAGAGGATGAATGCAGCCATACATAGTCTGAAATATAATTTGATGGAGGCCAATTTGTCCATTGATATGGCATATCACCCATACCTTGGCTTCCATCTTGATGGAGCCAACACATTTTATCTTTTTATTTCTTCTAGGTCGATTATTTTCCATAAATTCAAGAGGATTCATTATGTATTAGTGAGCGTCTTATTTATTAATAGTGAATGATCTGTCCAAATAATTATATATCTATATATATATTGTTTTAATCTTGGGAAATTTCCATGAATATAGCTAATTAACTAATACTTAAACGTTGATGAGTTAGCTTGAAGCCTTTTGGAGCTGAGATGGAGAGTCAAAACTAAAGAACAAAGAAAAGAATAAGACTATGGTGAGATGATTAGGGACGCTTCAAAGTGTTGGAAACTTCAACTTTGCAGACCTTCAAACACGTCTTTTACTTAAACCTCAACAAGAAAGCATCTATCATCTTCGACTTGATGCCTACGACTTCTTAAATTTTTTCAACACTTCGATCAATCTTTCACGTATACGTATTATACGGAGATGCGCTAATATGTGTCACGATAATTTTATTTGAACCTAATTTACTAATTTATATGTTAAATCACACTTGTATTTATAGTGGGTGTTGTTGGTTTAAAAACTGTTACAATCGGCAGAACGTCCGAATCGACAGATAATTTTTAGGTGATTGTTTGTGGATGAGTTCAATTTATTGTTTTAAGACTTCCTCGGATAAAATTTTAAAGCGAAAAGCACACAAAATAATGAATTAATAAAAGTGAATTCTTTTATTAATCTAATCGAATGAATTTCAGTTATAGAAAGACTGAATTAACAACATTTAATTATAGTACTAACAACCTAAAATTAACTTTAGTACTACTCCTAAATGCCTGATCGTGGGTTTTATGGAGCGTTTGAGTTGTTCCTCAACTCCTTATTGTTTGTCTTTTATAGTCATTCTCTTTGACCGTTTTTCTCTTCATCGATAGTTAATTGACTTGTAACTCTTAGACAATTACTTTCTTTTTTCAAACAAGGTGATGACTAATCATTTCTTGTATCTTCTTCTGATTCTAACACGTGGCAGTCTCTTAACTCGCTCGATTAAATGCATCAAATGTTGTTACAATTTTATATTTTAAGTTCAAACAATCATGCTTGTATTTAGTGGGTGATTTAACATAAAAAAAAAAAACCTATAGAGATTTGGATACAAAGATACCTTTCTACATGTGAGATCTTCTCCACACATTCCTATCCTTTTCCATCAACAATCTTACTTGTATTATGAATTCAATTAAATACTAAGCAAAATACGAGATGGAAAGAGACAAATGAACGGCAAAACTAACGCGTGGGCTCCATCAAGAATCGTCCAATAGACCAAGAAAAAAAAATGAAATGTGACTAAGAGCCAAGAGGCATCACCAAACATTTGTGAAACAACCAAACGCGTCCCATAATTTAGAGACTGCGTCAATTTTGGCGGAGGGAGGTCCATACTACAATACAAGACCACACCCCATCAAGCTGGTTAGGCAAACAAACACTATATTTAGCCACCTCATCATTACACCATTTCTGTCATAGCTCATCTCTCTTCGCCCTACTTATATATAAACAACACCCTCCATCCATTCTCTCACACAAACCCATTTGATCTTCTAAGCAAAACTTCTTCTCCAAATCCCCCAAAGAAGCCATTTATAGCAATCAACAAGAAAACCCAAAAATCTTGAAAAAACCAAACACATGGCTTCTTCAATGAGATTGTCATTGATTCTCTTCTTTGCTTGTTCTCTCTTCCTCCAAGGATCTCTAGGTATCTCTCTCCTTTCTTACGTGATGTTATACTTTCATATGAAGTTTGATAAGTTTTACGTTGGATGTTTGTATATGTGTATACATTTACAAACACATGTTCTTATGTTTGTTGATTGATTATGCGTGTAGAAATGGCTTGGCTTGGTAAATTTTAATGTATGTTTTTCTACATTAGGTGAGATTATATGCGAGGATTTGCCAACGGATGTCTGTGCATTTTCTATTGCATCGTCTGGAAAGAGGTGTTTGTTGGAGAATTATGCAACGAAAGACGGCAAGGTGGCGTACCAGTGCCGGACATCGGAGGTGGTTGTAGGGGGGATGGCTGAATACATTGAGACTGATGAATGTGTTAGTGCATGTGGGGTTGATAGGAACACTGTTGGAATATCATCTGATGCCTTGCTTGAGCCACAATTCACTGCCAAGCTTTGCTCCGCCGCTTGTTACCAGAACTGCCCCAACATTGTCCACCTTTACTTCAATTTGGCCGCCGGAGAGGGTAAGAACACATTACCATCAAACATATATATTTTGGTCTAATATTAAAGGGATATATAAAGTCAAATTCTCATGAACCCTAAACTCTTTTGGTTTTTTTTTTTTTTGTTGAATGGTACTTGATTCTTGAAAGAAATTCAGGGTAGAATGTCTATTATGCCTCTAAAGCAACACCATTTTTCATTTATCCATACCCTTTCCAAAGTATATATGGAAAAACAAACGGTGTTTAAAAAAATGATTATCGTTCAAATGCATCTAAAATAAAATTTGATTATTCAAAAATGGCGGGCCAATATCTTTTAAAATCACCCATTATAGGTATATTGAGAACACATGAGCCTTTGTGTTGTTGAAATGGTCATGGTGAATCTGCCAAAACACATGATGTGACATACGTTAATCAAATTGACTCAATCAAAACACAATTAATTTAGCAATGATATTAGACTAGTTTTTTAAGATTTTTTTTTTTGGTGGGTGGGTGGTCGTGCGCGCGCGCTCACAGTAAGTGTGATTTATTGGTTAAGTTTTCCCTAGACCATGAAGTTCCTTGAATAAAATTATATGTAGCATACAAGTTGGACCCGAAATATACTGTTTAGACGAAGTGAACAAGCAGTTATGGTAGTCCCCGTCATTTATACACCTTTCTTACAACTCTCTTTTCTTGAAGTTGAACCAAAGTATTGTCCTACCTCTCACAAAAGTGAACATGTAACTAATAGAATCACATTCTTCTAGGTCCTCCAGTTTATAAACCCTGTTTTATTTTATTCTAAGATAGCATTATAATATGATATTGTTCAAGAATATCTTTTTGTATCATGTGCAGGAGTATTTTTGCCAGATCTATGTGAGAAACAGAGGACCAACCCTCACCGAGCCATGATCGAGCTCGTGAGCAGTGGTGCTGCCCCTGGTCCTGTTTCCAGTGAACCTGCAGATATCACTGCTGCTGCCCAGCCTGCCACTGCCCCTTCTTCTTTCTAATCAAGTTTTGTATCATCCACAGAAGAATAATTTTCCTTCTAATCAAGTTTTGTATCATCCACAGAAGAATAATTTTCACTATACTATTGTAAAGCTTATGGGGAATTATTAGCAAAATGAGAGAGAGAGAGAGAGAGAGAGAGAGAGGAGTATAGTATGCTTTCATTGTTTTCCATTGGGTTTATTTATATACATCTTATTTAATGGAATGATATTCTATTGATCATTTTTACGACCAAGTCAATACATTATAGATTACCCGCCTCGAAGTAAAATGCATATATAAATAAATTTCTCGTTAATATTAGGGGTGCAATTTAGGCGGGTCAACTCAAAAAAAGGCTTGCGTTGAGATTTTTAATACTTTGGTTTGTTTGGATTGAAAAACATCAATCCAAACTAAATTTGGGCAATACTCAGATTCAGGACTCGAATTACCGAGTTCAATCTGAATATATAAATCAGATTCAACCGATTATATATTCGAGCTAAACCCAAATATTATAGTTAAACATTGAGTCTAGTATACTTTTTTATGTTAATTTGGTTGTTATGACTTTATGTTAAGAAAAGCGTACTTTGGTTTTTGTCTAATATGTTTTTTTATACTTTAAATACTATGATCTTTATGTTAAACATTTGATTGAAGTTACTAGTTGTTACTTCATGTAAATATTATGTAATATGAATCAGATTTAGAACAATAGGTTGATTTTGAACCCGAATTCTACCCTATTCCGCTAGAATTCAGCTTGGACAATATTCGGGTTAAGTAACTTAGATTGAGGTCAGATTAGGGTTTGAATTATGGTTGAAGATTTTATACTTTAAAGTTGAATTAGGGTTAACTTGTGAACCCGCCTTACAAATTCATGAAGCACCCATAGTCAATATATAAGAATCGTTGTACCATTAAAAAATAGAGAAAAATGTACTAGGTGGAATTTTGACCCCATATTCTAATCGCCATTATTCTAAACATGTTTGGTTTGTGAATGCACCGCATTGTCTGACCATAACACTCAAAGCTTGTCGAACCAACATAATTCAATAATAATGGTTATATTTTCTCTTGCTATAACCAACCAATAATTTATCGAATTCGACTTTTCATTATATCTTCTGATTCTTTTGTCTACCGCTTCATGTGTGAGTAAGGGTTGCCCATACCAAAAAGTGTTTAACCTTTTTTAATAGGGGCTTTAAATTTTAATATATATAAAAAATAAAATTTAATCAATTCGAATATGGCTTAAATTTTAATCGGTTCAAATTTTATGTAAAAAGATTACTTGGAGTTTATATAGGGATAATTTTAATATTTTTGATAGATTTTTTTTTGTTAAAAATGGTGGTTTAACAGTAAGGGATGTCAATAGTTACCATAACAATAATAAAAACTTACAATAATAGTAAAAATACTCCTAAATAAAGTAATTTTTTTTGTACTGAATAGAAATGATAAAAATAATTATCAAAATAGTGATAAAAATATTCACAAAAGTAATAAATTTTTTTATTATAAAATAACCCACAAAAATTATAAAAATATACTTTAAAATACTAAAAATTAGATTAATAATACGGAAGTTTTTTTTGACTGCATGGTAGTCATTTTTCTTGTTTCAACCTCTCCTCCTATTATTCTGAACACCCTTCTGGCTACGTAAATGGATACAAATCTCTTTTAATATATTTTTTTATAAGTTTTTTTTAATGTATTATTTTCCATACATATAAATAGGGCGGAGTCAAGAGGAGACCAAGCGGCACAGCCCACCCTGGATTATTTTAAAAATGAGTTCTTTGGAAGTCGGTATACCTAATTAGACTTATTTAACAAAAAATATATAAAACAAAATGTTTTGAAAAAAAATATACAGTTGAGTTACAAAGACATAAATGCTTATTTTAGGGTCATTTAATTCAAAATATTTTATCTTTAATGCAACTTGATTCATGTGTGTTTGTTAATACATATAAATATGTATTTAATTCAACTTAATTCATGTGTATTTGTTAATATATGTATATATATATATTTGTTATTAAATCTTTTATTAAAATTTGAATTATCTTTAATCCACTTTGATTCATGCGTACTTTTTTTTTGAAAAGTGATTTGTTTTCAAATTATATTTAATACACCTTAATTCAAGTGTTTTTTTTTTTTGGGAAAATAGTTTTTTTTTAAATTAATTTAATATCTGAATAATGTAATAGTATAACAAAAACAATGTTTAGTAGTTTTGTGTATATGATAACAAATTTAAAACAGAGATGGACTATTTTGAATGAAATTATATTAAACTATATATTTAACAAAATGTAATAGTACAATATTTTGTGTAAATAGTTTGTTACACTGTTATTGTTATACTGTTACATTGTTAGTGTTACACTGCTACACTTTTATTGTTACATTGTTATTGTTACACTATTACACTATTCGGATATTAAATTAATTTTAAAATAAAACCACTTTCTATTAAAAAAATGCCTGAATCAAGGTGTATTAAAAAATAATTCAAAATTTAGATAAGAGATTTAACAACAAGTATATACATACATACATAAGTATATATATATATATATATATATATATATATATATATATATATATATATATATATATATATATATATATATATATATATATATATATATATATATATATATTTATGTATATATATATATTTATGTATATATATATATTTATGTATATATAAATATATATAAAAATATGTATTTAAAATTTTCCTATAAAACTAGGAGATGTTTAATGCACAACTTTTCAAAGAAAAGTGGTGCATTAAATACACATTAATTAATAGAGGGCAAAAATATCACAAAAAAATCAGTAAAATTCAAATAATGTATTTAGATACAAATAAGTATCAAAGTTAAGAACTTAATTATTCAACATTTTTTTCTATGTACTTTTTTACAATTAAGTCTAATTGGGTGTACCTCCTTTCCAATTTTCCCTTTGCAAAATATATCATTAACAAAGATTTATGTTAATTGTTAGCTATATTTAAATTAGTCCATCAGCCCATTATTTTCTTGTCCTATCAATTAGTATCACCTAAAATTAAGTGACTATAAATTTTTGCACACACTTTGAATACTTTACATACATATAGGCTGGGTTAGCTCTGCAAAATTTTTTTCAGACTGGGCTGGATAGGGTAAGCCCAAGATATTACCCCGATAAGTTATCAGACATGTCAGGCTTCAAGTAGGAATATGCTACCTACAGCCCAACATATCACTTACTAAATGGTCCTATTGGGCGGGCTGGTCTATTGGGCCTATTGAATGAGCTTTTTTATATTCAACTTCATTTTAAAATAATAAATATTTTTATAAATTATTTTTTTGAATTAAAAGTAGAGTCAAAATTGACAAAAAAATAAATATTAAATAATTTTATTTATGAATAGGAGAGGAAGTGCATCACAATAGAATGAGCACATTCCAACTAGGTTGACACCTGAGTCAACAAAAGTAATTGTGCATTAAGTGTACTGTGTACCTATTAAAGTTTCAAATTTAATGGTCTAACTTTTTTTCATAGGAAAGACGGGGTTCTTGGACTAGATTCTAATGAGGTTTTGCGGGCAGGCTAGTGTTGGAACGGAAATTCCAATAATCATTGACAACGCGTATGTATCAAATACAAAAAATTTTCTTTTAAAACCCTACAAAGCAAAACTTGGGTTTACCTTCGAGATCGCTCCGGATTGATCTCGTCTCAATACGAACTCAAAATTTAAAGACAGATACAAATAGCAGTTTGATGAACCTCACGATCTTCTGTCGTATATCCCCCAAGGCCAAAATTCGGATATAGTGTTGGCTGCAAAGACTTCTGAACTTCTGTCCTTTATCTCAGTCTCTCTCAAAACGTGAATAATAAATGTAATACTGATTTAGAGAGTTTTGACGTTTATATATAAGTTACGACAGAAACCTTAAGGAGAAATAAGGGTCGGACTTCTAATGAGCTTAGGATTCTTATGTTCAACCCAAAAACAAACATCATACAATTCATCAATAATAAGTCGGTCCACTAAAAACTTATTATTGATCTCCTGAATCTTATCTCAAAATTGCGTTTCGAGCTCCTTATTACTATATGCTTAATAATCTTCATACATTTAAGATTATATATGTTCATTAATTAAATAAATTATTGATAATTATATTTAATTAAATTTTTTTATTCCTTGAAACCGTACCACTCAACTTATTTGTCTTGTCGGATAATTAAATCCACATGCAGGACTTGACATGGACACAACTTATGAACTTCTTCAAAAGGATATCATCAACCCATTTAAATATCGGGACGTGATTTCCTTTAATAATTAATTTTCACTATACAAATAATATTGTCTCTCAAGTCACCAAACATATTGACTCAATATAAATTTCACTCTTTGATGAATTAAAATGATAATCATTATATGTATGTGTTACTTAAATATCTTGAGATTAATAATATAAGCGATCATAATAATTATGAGGTATTTATTATTTTATTCAATGAGTAAAAGATAATAACCTCAACAAGAGTCTGTTTAATACACAAAGTATTCTAGTGTAATAATCTGAAACATTAAACAGTCTCCTATAGTCAAGACAGATCATGTCAGAATATTACATTACAATCATATTGATGTTGTGTCTAATTCCATCTAAAATTGTGAACTTATACTCATATTATATAATGATTCGATAATTTGGTCTTCTGTGTATAAATCGAACTCTACACACTAAATTATCTGCAATATAAAATATAAGACACACATAGATACCATAAATCAAATATAATACAAACATTTTATCCATATAGATTTTCAATAAAATGAAAAAACCAAACTTCTATTAATTAATAAAACGAAATTCACTACAAAAAGTAAGCTTTTAGTATATAATCCTATCAGCTAGTGGGCTGAGTTTCAAACCGCGTAATAGCTTTGGGGGTAGGCCCAAACCCTCTCTTGAAGGATATTGAAATCGGACTTTG